GAAGGAAAGAAAGAAAGAAAGAAAGAAAGAAAGAAAGAAAGAAAGAAAGAAAGAAAGAAAGAAACAAAGAATATGTTGCCTCCTCTCTCTCCATAAAGGTTCATCAAAGTATCTGTTGTATCCGACATTATTTTTATCTTACTACTACTATGAAGGCACCTGAAGGTTCTAGATTCTACTGTATAAAATCGTAAAATGAGCCTGAGATAATGCGTCCTGGTTAGCAAGCTTCCACCGAACCCTCTGTGACTAAATCAAAGCCTATTTCCTGTTTCACTGAGTTTTCTGAATTACAGATTTTGATGGCAGTGATCAAAGACTAGATTTGGAAGGAAATAAATTTTCACATTCACTATTAAAATCCCATGTTCTGTTCATATATGGCTCAAGGGGGGCTGGGGAGATAGCTCAGTAGAATAAGCACTTGCCTCACAAGTGCAAGGGCCTGAGTTCAACCCCCGGTTCCACCAAAAAAAACCAATCAAGGGACCTAAAGTGGCACCAAACCCAAACAGGAATCAGGAAAACGGCTACATCTATACCCTGTGTGTAATCTTGTTATACACATATGAAGACAGCCAGCTCATGTGGTAAACATGTACCCTATAGACTTGCTCCACTTCTTGCCTTGCCCACTTAACCACAGCACTATGGAGAGCCACACAACTGAGGCTACCCTAGCTTCCTGTTCACTTGTTATAAAGGCCATAGTGCAGTCTATTATGCCTTTTAATAGCTCACACACACACACACACACACACACACACACACTCAGTAGTCTTTCAGCACTTTCCCATGAAAACAACCAGGTAATTCTACATTTCTGCTGATTCTCCTTCACATCCCTGCAAGGGTGAAGGCACCATCCACAGGGAACACTATACAAGACCCACACAGCTAAGATGCAAGCCAGAGCTGTTGGCCACCCTTATGATACCACTTAAGAACTAAATACTTGGACAATATTTTCCAACAGCTCTGAACCACGCAGCTATGATGCAAGCCAGATCTGCTGGCCACCCTTACGATAGCACTTAAGTGCTGAATACTTGGACAGTATTTTCTAACTCTGAGGTTGAATATATTTGTTCTTATTTTACAAGATGAAACAAAGTTTAAGAACATGGGTCAGGACATTACAGAGCTATAAAAATAAAGATGTGACAGTCACAGAGAACTACGTTCAAATTTCAACTTCCATCTATTGCCAGCTGTGTGACCCTGGTCATGTTCCTTCCTTTGCAAAATAATTCTCACTTTATGGTATCTTTTAAAGCTACAAAATAGTCATGTACCACATAACAATGTTTCAGTCAACCAAGGAGCACATATACACAAGGGTGGTCCCATAAGATTACTGGGTAGCCTTGGTAAGTTTGTGTCACTATACTCTCTGACAGTCTCACTATGGCAGAATCACGTAATGACACACTTTTTAGAAAGTACTCCCAATCTTCCCCATCTCTGCAGTCCAATCCAATTCCTCATCCCTAACCACTGCCTACCAGCTTAAATATACTGTAACTGGTCTTCAGCTAATATATAAAGTAACTGAAATTCTTTGCAAGCATCCTCTTTTGTATCAATTTCTCCCCAATCTCTCACTTAGAATCTGACTTTATTGTGCATTGGTTTGACGTTGGGTTTGAACAAAGAAATCCACACTCATCATTGAGTTCACAGTTTCACACGTATCTCACAACTCCTGTTGACAGCAAAACAGTGCCTCCCACTCACCCAGGGAAATGGGGGTCCTCTTCCCACTAACACACTGTACCAGCTCAGGGCATGCTTCTTGGTCTCTCTCTGCACCTGCTCAAGGGCTCCCCCCCATCTCGTGCACCTCGACAGAAGCTCTGAAGACCCACACTCTCCTATCTTAACCTGCCACAGAAGCCTGACGTCTAGCAGGACACACTGCACTGGCAAAAGGAAGGGCACAACCTCAGGGAGAAGCCTGTGTGCAGGGTGCCAGCTCTCCAGAGAGAGAAAGGGGAAGTGAAGATGGGGGGAGAAAAGAATTGCTGTGGGGTGAGTAACCAGGAAGTCAGGCTTAATTTATTTTGCTTAGAAGACAAAACAAAGTTTCAGTGGCAGAATCAGGGCAGAGTTACATCCTCTGATGGAGTGGCCTTAGCCTCCACAACTCAGGAGAGTACATCAGAAAGACTGCCACACAGATTCATGGTGGGCAAACTGACTGGATCTGCCAAAAATGTTAAATGCCTAACTGTACTAACTCAGTCATTACACCAAAGGACCTTATTTTAAGCTTTTAATCAAGTCCTTCTTTTAAATTGGACAATAAATACAACATAATCTTTTTTAAATTTATTTTTTTATCTTTTTAAGTATGTGGTTGTTGCAGGGTCTCACTATACAGCTCAGACTGGTGGTGATACTCCTGCTTTCAGCTTCCCAGCACTGGGTTTATAGGCGTCCACCACTATGCCTGAACTCTGTAGCGGGCTCAGCCTGCCCAGGGCATGTGCTGCGGGGGATGGAACTGCAGTCCTTGCACTTGCCTAAGCAGGCGCTTTAGTCCACTGAGCTATCTCACCTGCCCCCTTTTCTTTGCTAAGTACACATATCACTATACTCCTCTAAGTGTTCGGACTTGTTTTTATCCCCTGGTCTAACACAATTCATGAACGTGGATTTTTTTTAAATTAAATAACATTTTAAATAAGGTGAAATACTTAAAAGACAAAGTATGATATGCATTCGGAGGTAAGATTATCATACGAGTTTTCCTTTCTGTGCTATGTCTAGCTTTCCAAGTTTTCTACATTAGGCTCTCACTACAAGGTTAGAGAAAATACAAAAATATGTTGATTTTTTAAAAATAATTATAATTTAAGTGTTTCAGGCTGTTTCTGCTATACAGACTTAACCTTAAGAAATTCATCATACAGGATGGAGCTTGAAATAAGGAATTAGATTCTTTAAAAGCAATATACTCCTTCTTTACACTATGGCCCTTCTACTGGCAACAAGGTCCTCAAGTAAAACTTTGATTTCACTTTTCTCAAGTGTTTATCATGAGACAGTTTCCTCGCCATCCCCCACCTACATGAACAATGCCGCCCCATGCTCAGCCAGCTCCAGAACCTGCCCACTATTCCCTGTCATGTGATCGACGCATGACAATCCAGATTTTCAGAATTATCCCAAGTTCCTTTTCTTTAAAGCCTTTCTGAAAAAAGCTACACAGATCTCTCCTTCTATAATCATAGGTCACTTTCATGTCTCACTCCAGCACAAAGCTGGCCTCACTGTCCACCAGCGACCACCTTCCTCACCGAGATCAAGGCTGAACCATCAGGGCCCTCTTCCCAGCTAACACGCCCCTTCTGTGATAAGCACAGTGATGGCCATGAAGACAGTCACAGGCACTTGTCAGACTCACCACTTGGTCCACCTGCTGGTTATCAGCTGGCGACAGCAGCCACTCAATGTCCAGAGGTCCCTGGTCATCAGGACCAATAGTAAATTTGCAAGGAAGATAGGCAGTTTCCCCTTTGGCCTTTTCAATCATCATCTGATCAGGAGGAGTGATACTCAAACTTCTGATGAGATCTGTAGGAAAAAAAAAACCACAAAACACTTACTCGACTAAGCATCGCTAATATTCTGGGAATCACAGCAACTGTAGACACTGCGAGGAGGACAGAGAAGTGGGGGACACAGGATGGGTGGGCTTGGGGTCCATCCAGAAGAACGCAGCTCACATTCAGTGGTGCCTTTCTAAAAATGAAAAGACACTATTAATACTACCAGGTTTCAGACAGAAAACCCTTTAAGAACACCATAAGTTTCCCAACATAATATAAAAGCTAAGTCTCTACTAGTAAGATAGTTTCTATGCCCAACCAGTTGGTTAAAACTGTATTTAGCTAGATTCGCTGAAAGACCAGTAATGTCACCCAAATCTAAGGCTATATTAATTTATGTTAACCACAGTGCCACTGAGAACTCATAGTTCTTAGGGCACAAGTTGATAAATTTTGACACATTTTTGCCAAATCTTTAATTTTAAACTTCTATTAATATAATCTCATAACTTGTATCAAATGCTTAAACATTTTTAAGCAACACATTTTAATGAATACAAAATAGGAAACAATTTATACAAAGTCATGCATTGCATAATAGTGTTTCAGTTAAAGATTTCTGACCATGGCCCCATAAAATTAAAATGGATGGCGAGGGAGATGGCTCAGTGGCATAAGCATCTGCTTGGCAAGTGCAAGGTCCTGAGTTTGATCCCCAGTACCACCCCCATCCCCCCAAAAAAGATGAAAATGGAGTTGGAAAAACTCTATTTCATAGTATTTTTACTGAATCTTTTCTATATTTAGGTATATTTAGGTATACAAACACCTTTGTGTTACAAATTCCTAGAGTAATTCAGGAAAGTACCAGGCTGTACAGGTTTGTAGCCCAACAGCACTAGGCTATACCATATAGCATAAGTATAGTAGGCTACACCATATAGATTTGTGTAAGTATCTGCTGATCTTCACTCAACTAAATTATGATTCATTTTGCAAAATCTAGGCTCAACATTCAATAATGTATGACTATATGCTTTATGCTCAAACCACTAACAGAATAAAAAGAAAACTCACAAATTGGGAAAAAAATATAGCCCACTGTTCCTCTGACAGAGGACTTGTACTTAGAACAAAGAATTTTTAAAAATCAAGCCTCCAAAATTCAAAGACCCAATCAAGAAATGGGCATCTGAGATGAATATATATACTTCAAAAATAAAGAGATACAAATGGCATATAAATACATGGAAAAAGTTCAACATCTTCGGTCATTCAAGAGATGTGAATTAAAACAACCTTGAGATACCACCTTATGCCACAAACAATGGCTCTCATCAAGAAGGCAACCAATAACAAATGCTGGAGAGGCTGTGGGGAAAATGGAACCTTTCTCCACTGTTGGTCGGAGTGCAGACTCGTATAACCATAATGGAAACCACTGTGGAGATTCCTCAAAAAGCTAAGTTTGCAGGTCCCATTCAAGCCAGCTATTCTCCTTCTAGGTATTTTCCCAAAAGAACTAAAATCATCACACCACAGCCATACACGTGCACCCATGTTTACAGCAGTACAATTTATCATAGCTAAACTTGGAAACACCCCAAATGCCCATCAGCTGAGGGATGGATTAAGAAAATGTGGTATTTTTACATAATGGAGTATTACTCCACTACCCAAAAAAGATAAATTTGAGGCTTTTAAAGGCAAATGGATGCAACCAGAGACTGTATTGCTAAGTATAATAAATCAGGCCTACATGTGCAAACACCATATTGTCTCGCTAGGGTGTAAGAACCTGAAAGAATAAAATCTGAAAAGTACAACAGACACTGAGACAGGGAAAGAATCTGTTCAATGGGAACAAAAAACTGGGATGAGACAAGGACGAAAGAAAGAAGGAAAAGATATGCAGACGTGTTTGGTTAATTGTATCGTTGATTTCTACCAGTCTATCGAAAGGAGCAGCTAATGCTTAAATTTTTTATTCTTTTTAATTTCTTAAAAACTTTCCTTTTGTTGTTGTTTTGTTGTTTTTTAACCGTTTTTGCAGGTTTGTATCTGGTAAACCAAATGATTAATTTTTTTTTTTTTTTTTTTGGCAGAACCAGGGATTGAACTCAGGCCCTTGCACGTGCCAGGGAAGCGCTTACTCCACTGAGCCATCTCCCTGGCCCCCCAAATGACTACTTTGAAGATAATATAATGCAATATAACAGCCATTGTTAAATTCCTATTATGTTGTTTAGTGAAATTTTGTATCATTTCTAATGCTTTTTTTCACTATTTTGTATTCTTTAAAAGATTTTTAAATAAATAAGTAGGAATAATTTACCCAACAGTTCGCTTCAATACTATCTTTACAAAAATTTCTTACTGTTCACCCCCAATTTTCTTCTTGCAACATCACAATTATACTTTATTTTCTTAAAAAGCCTTCTTAAAATCCTATCCTATTCTAAAATTCACATTCTATAAAATTTCTTCCATTTGGGCCCACTAGAGATGGCTTCAACACGCTGCAGCTGAACAAGAGTTCAGTCCCCTTGCTAGGGTCACCGTGACAATGCGGGGGTCTCTTACTCATAAAAGGTAGAATTAACTCTAAGCAAAAAGGTTCTATTTCTCGTTGGATAAGAAAATGTTTAATCAATGTGTTTTTCAAAAGCAAAGAATATCTATCAATTTCCGCATAAAAATGAGTTCGCTCAATGCTTATTTTCAAATGAGATTAACATTTGAACAAGGCATCAACTTGATTTAAAATGCAAACTGAGAGTATACAGGACATCACATAAAATGTTAAGCTATTCAATATGAAAGTTAGCATACCACAAGTTGTTACATTTATGGTTTCTTTGTAATAACCAATATTTTCTTAGTAGAAACTTAAAACATTAGCCTGCAGAAGTGTAAATCTCACCATTTTCTGTTAGAAAAGGCGCTCTATCACTTGGGCTCCAATACACTGGATGCTGACATTCAGGACTAAACGATAACGTGGAGTACACCTACACACTAAAATTATGGTATGGTGTTCCTCCCATTCCTACTCTCACCATAAAAAAAAATTCATCAAAGCAAAATGAAGAATTTGTCCATCCAGTGTCCTAATTCTCCATGAATTATAAGGTCTTCAGGGTTTCACTACAGAGATCAGACTCGTAGTGATTCTGTTTTCAGCCTCCCAAGCGTTGGGATTACAGGTATGCGCCACCACGCCCAGTCTCAGTGGCTGTCTCAGTGTGCCCTGGTGGCAGGGCCAGCACAGTATGCAGGGGATCAAACCCGGGTCCCTGCGTCTGCAAGGCAGGCGCTTTAATCCTCTGAACTATCTGGCCAGCCCCTCATGATAACTATTTTGACACTGTTTTTCAAATAATAAATTCCAACAGAATAAACTAAAATGAAACATAAGTCATGACCTGATGCCTCCTACTAGCTATAGAATAAACTTAATTACAGTACTTAAAACTATCAGACTTAGTGAAATGTTGATAAAGTTAAAACCAAAAGATTGATAACTAAAGAAAAGCCAGGCTATAAAGAAAAGCCAGGCTACATTGAAGACCATTTATATTCAAGCTTTTATTTAACAGCATTTAAGGGAATCTCAAACACATCAAACATAAATACAAATTCTGAGCACATTATTCCTTAATGTTGAGGTCGCCCTTGAGATCCCCACCACGGTGTGAACGACCCACAGCAGGACCCTGGAACAGCTCCCATCAAGAGAGCTGTCTGCAGTCCCCCGAGGGGGCCCAGCCTTGCTCTCAGCGGCTCCTACCCTGGAAACGCACAGGATGCTGGGTACATACTTTTGGGTTTCCGCCTCAGCCTGGGGTGCTTTGTGACACCATAAAGACCTACTGCTTCAGACCAAATGGACTAATTCCTACTCCCCTAAAATATGGATTACTCCATTTCATACCTGCATATCTACTTAAAATTAGGATGTGCTACTTACGTGCATAATCAAGCGTTTCTCTTAAGTCAGCATTTACACCTCTGAATATTCTTAATCACCACTAATAAACCCAGCTCCCTTCCACACCACTTGCGGAGGCACTTGTCTACCTCCGCCCATCACCATGATTTCTCTGTCCTTCCTCCTATGAATGCCAAGACTACCTACTGGCACTTATTGCAGGATATGTGTCAGATTTTTTTTAATTTCTATTTTAAAATGACCTGATTTGGCTTGCACAAAGCTCTGTCACAAGCAGATGCAGATGAGCTCATCTTCTTCCCATAGTACCGCTGTGTTTTTAGGGCTTTTTAAAGTGCACATGCAGCCAGACACAGCTGCACATGCCTACAACCCTAGCACAAGGACCACAGCTCCAAGCCAGTCTGGGAAACTAGGTAAGACACTGTCTCCAAACAAAATAATACAGAATAATAATAATTTTAAAAGAAAGTCCCAATTTACCATTAAGTCACTAGCACCACGAGAGCAGGGAGAAAATACAGGTACGTCTGCCTCCCACTGTAGCAAAGGACTGTTGACTGCATTTGAAGTTTGATGAATCCTTCAAATGTTGAGGGCAGAAGCAGGCATCAACCTGCCAGACATCTGCTGCTTCAAGTGCTCCTTTCTTAGGCACCATAATTTGTTGCCTGAGTGTAACCTGTCTGGCTACTAATACTTACTATTTTGTTGTTGCTCTTGTTGACACAGGGTCTTGCTGTGAGGTTCAGGCTGGTGGTAAGCCTAGAGTGGCCTGCCTCAGCCTCCAGAGTGCTAGGAGTATAAGCATGCAACACCACACCTGGCTGCTTATTAATACTTTATACAGCAAGTAAGAGATGAATAGCCTAAGCTCTCCTTGGAATGAAAAATCCCATATCAACATATAAGCAAAACAAAGAAAAAAATACATGAGTGACCACGCAAAACTCCTGTAAATAACAAAACCTTTTTAGTCCCTTCTTGAGTTCCCATTTTATAGAAGGCAACAAAAAGGCTAAGTGAGGACTAGGGAAGTACCTCAGTGGTGGAACGTTTGGTTAGCGTATGTG